CCCCCATCTCCACCCCAACACGTGCCATCAGCCATGATAAGTCAAATTTGGTTCCCGAGTTTGAGTGTGTTTCTGTGTGTCACAGTGTGTGTGCATGGGTAATGGTGTGTGCATGGGTCAATGTGTGTGTGTATGAATGTGCATAACTGGGTAGAATGCACGAGTGAGTGCTCCAGTGTTCGCTGGGTGTCATGGTGAGCCTGGGCATCTGGCTGGGTGTGTGTGAGGAGGACCACTCACTGGTGGCCTTGGATGTTGGGGATGGGGATGGGTGCAGGGTAGTCTCCGCTTCCACTCTCAAGCCACAGTAATGAACGAGGGTCCAAGAGGATGTCTCACGGTGGAGGTAGCTTCAGGCCACCTTGGGCCTGGCCTGCATGCCTGGGTGTGACCCAGAATGTGGGCTCTTTGCGGAGGGCGGTCTCAGGTCTGAACCTCACACTCTCACCAGAGCCCTGCCCTTTCCATCCCTCAGAATATTCAGGCTGAGGAGAATTCTGCACCAGCATAGGCTGCCAAATGGGGCTTGGGGGTGTGAATCAACGGAGTCCCTTAGAAGGGGGTGCAAGATTGTGCAGCAAGACAACTTTTGTCACTTTGGTCTCCGTGTCTGGAAGGACCATGGGCTGGGGTTGCTGGTCAGTGACAGGTGGCCTCTCAGTAACACCAGGTACACTTGCAGAGAGGGCACTGGTGTGACACCGAGGTACCGCTGTGGGAAGACACCCTCAGAGGATGAGAACAGCCCTCCAAGACCTGCCACTCCAGCAAGTGACCTCAGCCTCATAGTACTTTCATGACAAAGGTGCTGTGCTTTGATATAATCCCTGCCTGAGACCACCTTTCCCAGTGGAACCACAAGAAGAGCGGACAGCGGAGCCACCACCCAGCCTGGCCACGTCCAGTCTCAAGTATCCATTGCCAGTATCCACAGCGACCTCTGCTGGGAAGAAGCTAAACCATGGTGTGGAGGTTCAGGGTGGGTGTGAGCATTGTTAGGTGAAAACCATAAACCCTTCTATTTGGGGACTCCCTGTCTGCCTTTGGAGTCCTGAGCTGATGTGCTTGTCTGCAGTTTCTTCAGGCTAATTCTAGCAGTGGGACTGCCGCTGCCCTTACCCACAGGGAAATATTTAAAGAGGGCCTAAATAAAGGCCTGTGTTTATGTTTTCATCCCGTTGGGGCTGGGCATCAAATCCATCTATGAGGAAAATGCATAGAAAACATTTATCAAAATCAGAGAGGTGTAAGCATCTTTCCTGTTTCTTCCTCTCACTCTGTGATTTCTTTCTCCTTTTTTCCCTATTTCACTTTGATACTCTTCTCTCCCTTTTATTGGTCAATATCATATTTTTCAAACATAAGCCTTCTTTTCCTAGTTGGCAATGTGGCCCAGAAAATGCAGGTATCAAGAGACTATAAAGAACTGGCAAACACTGGCTCTTCCAGGCCTAATGCTGGGAGTGTGGGAGATGGATGAGATGGATGAAATGAGCTCAGTCTCAAATGCCCACCTGGTGACAGTGTCCCTTCTCCGGGAGTTGCTGTAAAGGGATTTCACGCAGCCACAAACTCTTTAAAGCTCCTCAAAGGAAAGGAGGTATTTAAATACCTGGTATTGTTCTTACTTTGGCATCCATGTGATTTGCATTGAACTATGTGACTCAGTATCATAAAGTAAAAATAGGACTTAATATCTTCCTTGCCTGTTCAGAAGGTGACTGTATATTGTGTTCTGCATTGGAGAGTGAAAAACTAAATTATTTCATAAATTGAACCACCTGTGTTATTCTGATTAGAGAATGACGCTCAACATCACCTACAGGCAATACTGTTATTTTATGTTTCTTTTAATTCATACCTGAATCTCCTTGTCTTGTAAAACCTTTCTTCGTGCTCACACGTTATTACTTTCACTCGAAGTTAATCGAGAATCTTTAATCCTTGTGCTGAAGCCAAACAAATGAAATATCATCAGATACAGGAAGATGTGGGTGGTGTTTCTGTTCTTCTTGGGGGGAAAAAATCCTTGGAGTTCATCAGAGAGAATGAAAGGGCCTGAAGATTCAGTAAATCTATGAGTAGACTTCGTGGGTTTTTGAGGCCAGGTCCCTCAGAATATTCCAGGAGGCACGAATGTGATGCTTCCCTGAGGTTAGTTGAAGAATGCGAGTGGCATGCGTGTTGGGAGACTGCAGCCCCGGTGAATCCTAAACCCTCCCATGGACACAGCCTTTCTTGGGAAAATCCCCCCCAGCATTGTGCACCCTCAGGCAGCCGGCAATGGCTAAGGAGTGGAGCTGTCCAAGGTTGTAAAGCACTGGCCTCAGCCCCATTAGTGAGAAGGGAGGATTTAGGGCGTGAGGCCAGCTCTGAGGACGACAGCCAGCCTCTGTGAGGATTTTCCCAAAGCTCATCACATAATGGAACAAGAGGAAACAGAGCTGTGAGGCTTCCAGCGCATCCCTTCGAATGGACCCTTTGGCGATCCCTATTTAAAGAGTGATGAGCTAATAAGAAGAAGAAACGTTTCCGAGTCAGGCTCTTCACATGTGAGAACGTATTTCATCCTCACAGCCTCGAGAGATAGGTGGTGGTGTTACTCCCACCTCCGAGATGAGGAAATGAAGCTTTGAGAGGAAAGGGGCTTGCCCACAATCACACCGGCCAGAAGGGACGGAGTTTAGGTTCCAATCTGGATCTCTTGAACTCTGGAGCCTGCTTCTTACCGCTGTCTTTTTGTCCTATTTTAGAAGTGAAATTGAAGTGTTGGGCCTTTTCTGTGTGAGGTTCTAACCAAATTTTAGAGGAATGGGATTGAGGCCCACTACAATTCAGGCAGAAACCACAAAAAGTCCTTTTAAATTCATCAAGGATTGTTACCACACGCTTGACATATTATCCTGACAAAAAGTTTGTTACCTGAAGTTGAGGAGAGCATAATGACCCGCATGGCCAGTAGCCCAGGGTTTTCTTTCCAGAGTGGAAAAATTTCACAGGGAGCCAAGCCTGGATGGCAACACTACGCGTTTTAATAATCTGCAGGAATGGGGGGGGGGGCCATGAGGAGGCTGTTATTATTTGCCAGAGTACGTACAGAGCCAAAAGTAAGGCTTGTCTTTATTTGCTGGCATCCTGTCCAATTCTGAGGACACGTGG